CCACAAATAACTCTTACATCAGGCTGTTGTCAGTTGTAATGGGCCAAAGAACATGAAACAGCATTGGCATTAACAGTGGTAAAATAGTAATCTTGCTATGTTTCCCATTCAGATGATGAATGGGGCTATTAGGTTCCAGAGAAGAAACAACAGTAGCCTTGGTGAATTAAACAGGTGGCCTCAAGACATTGAATGCAGCCAGCTTGACCAACTTTTGCGGGATTATGGATTGTGATAGCCATCATGTGTAAGCATCCTTATAGACTTTTTTAAAATAGACAATTTTATAAAGCCTTGCTTCAATACAGCTAATAGTCAAGGGCAAATTTCTAAAATTGCTGTTGATGGAGAAAAATGTCAAGAGATGAATTTGATTTCTAATTATGCTTTCTTCCAAATTTTCAACGTTGATGAATTACGTTAATACAATTTTCCTCCAGGGAATCATTAAATAGCAATCTTGCCAGATGGATCACTATGACCAAAATGAGACAATGCAGGGAATATTTTTTTTGAACCTAGTCATACTAAAATCATTTTAAAAGAACCCGTTCACTATCTCAATGGATCTAATGCCTATCAAGTTATTGATTTCTTTACAAAAGTAGTCTGCCAGTCTACTATTAAGAATTATGTATTTCGTTCAAACTTTGCCGCTAATACATTTTTCTTTTAGTTAATATAAAATCTATTAAAGGAGCTACAAATCTCCTTGTTGATTTTCTATACTTCATCTTTTTACCCTTAAACATTCCTATCAAATACAAAATTAATAGGACTTTATTAGCTCTGACATCTTACCTTTAGATCTCACTATCAAATTTATCAAGCATTGTTTTAAAAGAATCTCACTTTTTAGTTGAGTTTTATCCTGTTTTAATTTTAATTTTTTATTATATAGTTTTGCTTATTTTTAAAACATCTTCTTAGTTATCTCTAGTGTCTCTGGCTAAAAGTAAGGAGAAAAATATTTTAATAGTTAATTACTATCTGGAGGAAGTGTAGTTACCCTGGACTCCAAAGTATAGTCCACAATATAGTCCACAATAATAGAGCTGCCCTTTGCTGAACTTGGATGACTTACCTTGCTTAAGAACAAAACATTTATCAAGCTAATATCTTTCTTTTTGTCAGGAGTGTCAAGATACTGAAATGATTTGCTGCCCTAAGACTTCTTTCTGCAACATCATAGCCTGGAGAATGAGCTTTTGTGCTCTGACATACCTATGAAATAATCAGGTATTGCTTTTGATTTTGATCAGCACTTAATATTACATCTGAACATTAATGACATCTATAATACCAGCTATAATCCATTGGAATGTCACAAACTTGCTTCAGAGGGATGGAGGGATGGAAACAAATGTACTGTAGCCATATAGTAAAACCAAGTCAATGTGTGTTACTCTCCTTTTCTTGTTCTCAGATTTTCCCAGTAGACTTCCCTTGAAATATGGAGTTAAAGAAGGTTTTTAGTCTATAGTTCCCTGAAAACAGAATCCTGCTAACAGAGTAAATAATCACTGCTGTGAATAAATTTCACAGTTCCTAACAAAATATGGCTAGAAAAAATATTAATAGAAATGGTTAAAATTGTGGAATCTTGAATTTAAAGCACCTTATTTTGGAATTTCTTTGGGGGCTACACTTAAGAATATCTATATTGTGTGTGTGTGTGTGTGTGTGTGTGTGTGTGTGTGTGTGTGAGGGGATGTTTGCTAAAGCATGAATACCTCTAAAGATATTTACAGTAGACATACAATATTTGGTAACTAAGGTGATACACAGGGAACCAATTGTCTTGTGCAGCACACCTCCTTTACAGATAACCAGGTAGAGGTATCTTCTAGAACCACCATTTTACCAGTAAAATAGGTCTCCAGGTGTACTGGGCTACAATTTGCATCAATCCTCAATTTGCATCAATCAAAATGGCCATAGATGTCACAGAGCAGGACCAGCTGAGGTGCATCTGGTTTTAATCCGAAGATCAAACAATCTGCATCTAAGGAGGGAGGGACTTTTATTCAAAATACTCTTGCCAGCAATGTAGCTCTCTGTTTCAATAAGGCAGGCACAAAAAAAGTAAGCAAGCAAACAAGGAAAGCATAGGTAAAATACGGGACAAAAAAGAACAAACTTCAGAATGCCTGAATGCTAACAACCAGGGGTGGGATTCAACATTTTTAACAACCGGTTCTGTGGGCATAGCTAGGTGGGCATGGTTAGGTGGGTGTAGCCATGCAACTGGGTGGGCATGGCTTTTTTTTGCAGCACCCCCCATTTTTTTGCTCCCTGGGCCTCAGAGAAGTCTCCTGGGGGGTGTTTTTGCTCCCAGAAGGCTTCCCTGGGGCCCAGGAAGGCAAAAAATGGAGTTGGGGTGGGGGTGCTCCATTTTTGGGCCTTCTGTGCCTCAGGGAAGCTTCCTGGGGAAATTTTTGCTCCCAGGAAGCTCCTCCCCACACCCCTTTTTGCCTCCTGGGCCTCAAGGAAGCCTCTTGGGCGAAGCAGTAAGACAGCGAGGGGGATCTGGCACAACTGATAATTGGAACAGCTGATCATCGGGAGGGAAAAAAAGAAACACCTTATAAAGAGTGACTGGGCGGGGAAGAATGCAGTCAGTGATGTGGGGCATGCATGCGATGTCGTGCATGCACGATAAGGACTGACTGGGTGGAGAGGGGAGGGGCCAGCCAGGGGCATGATTTGCCAGTTCTCTGAACTGTGCAGAATCATAACAACCGGTTCTACAGAACCAGTCTGAACCAGTAGAATCCCACCCCTGCTAGCAACTATTAATATATTCTAGGGACTTTATATATTTCTCCCTGCCAGAAGGTTTACAGTCAGATTTAGAAAGAGATAGAAGCTTAAAGTGATGCATATTAATGGTCCATGTCTCTATATGGCTATTTAAGTCCCACTGGGTTCAATGAAGCTTGATCTCTAGCATATATGTATGGGACTGTAATTTCAGGCTCAGATAATTCAAGGTGTTAAAAGGAGGGAGATTTATTTGAGGCTTAATTAAACATGGAATTCAAGAACTGTGTAAACACCCCCCCCCCCCCCAAATTAAACAAAGCATATCTTACACTACCATATTGATTAAAAATATTTGGACTACAAGACATTCTAAAACAATTCAGTTCAATATCTGCCTATAAATCAAATTATGTCGAGAAACTGGTGCTAAGGGCATATGTTAGAGAGGTGCCAATTATTGGATATTTTGGTTTGTGTAATGCGTCACATCTGATGATCTTTATCCCTGAAAGGCTGGGCTATGAGCCAGGACTTCACTCTGTAAAAAACACTTAAGCTCTCTCAACAGTGCTTAGAATTGGGCAAGAGAAAGAAAGGCTTTGTTATAGATGCTTTAGCGTATTTTACACCCTCCGTTATATCAGTCTATCCAGGACTCACTGGGCAATTTTGCCTGTTAAGAAAGCTGGTTTATACATTTTCTTCAGTTCAAGCTTGGATTAAACAAGTAAACATTTAAACAATCTTTAAACAAGATTATACGATTTTGCAAGATTTCACATTGAGTGAATGATACTTACATATTTAAAGTGTCTAGATCAGTGGTGGCTAACCTTTTTGGGCTCCTATGCCAAAAATTGTGTGCGCTCTTGCACGCTCACGCTCGTGTGCCAGGACCCAGAAGGCAATGCCCCCCCACACCCCCTACACATGTGCGCGCAATCCACCCACCCCCGCTGCCCCCTTACCTGCACTGAGCCTCACAGCTGATTTTCGGCCGGTTTGAGGCCTTTTTCAGCCTCCCAAAGGCTTAAGGAAGGCTTCTGCAGGCTTCTGCAAGCTTTGCAGGCTGAAAACTAGCCCCACTTCATCACTTCCCATTTTTCCGAAAATACTGGAAGTAACGAAACGGGGCTAGTTTTTGGCCTGCAAAACTTGCAGAAGCCTTCCTCAAGCCTTTGGGAGGCCGAAAAAGGCCACAAACTGGCTGAAAGTCAGCTGTGAGGCACGCACATGTGCAATGAGGTAAGTTTGCCTGCAGCTTGCATGCCGGCATAAATGGCTCTACGTGCCACTTGTGGCACGCGTGCCATAGGTTTGCCATCACGTGTCTAGATTCTAGTGCTCATTAATAGCCTGATATTATCACTGTTCATTATTTCAAGATGCCTAGTTTTAAAATCCTAATTTCACTTTATTCTGCATTGGTCAGAGTTGCTCTTCAGCAGAGTGTCCAGTTCTGGACACCACATTTAGACATGTTCAGAGAAAGAGTAATGAGAATAATCAACAGACTAGAAATTGTCCTATGAAAGTTCTGATTAAAAACAGGGAAGATAAGAATATGATAGAATTTTTAAAATCCTGACAAAAGTGTCATCTTGAAGAAGGTGAAGATTTTTTCTCTATTATCCCAAAGGACAGGATATGGAATAATGGATGTTACAGGAAGATGGATTCAGAGCAATCCAACAATGAAACCTATTACCAGGAAGGTGATAACTTAAACTCTCATAGAGATTTTAATCTGGATTCCTGCACTGAAAAGAAGTCTGAATTTAACATTTTAAAAGCTATCTTTCACCTCTATGATTCTCTGTTAGTGGTGACAATCTCTACACATTAATTTCATTGCCTTAGGTAGAATTAATAATCATAACCCAGTTTTGATTTGGTGCAGGCATTTTATGTAGGGTCATATAAGTAGTTTTGTTTGTTCGGTATTCAAGAGGACACCTCATTTTTAGATCTCCACAGATATTTCAGTTATACTTGGTGTACTGGATGTGCTTCAACAACAAGTTTTCGTATGTTTCTTTCATGTGTGCAGCATAACCAAAAGATGTTATGTTTACAGCCATTGTACAAAACAGACGATTTGATTAATAGCCAAAAATCTATAAAATATACCCCAAAGTGTTCAGGAAGCAAAAGCTTTCTTGTCCAGCATGATTATTGTTGTTGCTACTGAAGAAAAATTATAGTTATACTGTAATACTTGATATGGAACTTACCCATATAAAAATATTCTGGGGAGGCCTCATCAGTTGCTAAATCTCTTATAACATTTCCAAACCGCAGCCATAGCCCAAATGCGATAACAGCTGAACCTGACAACTAGAAAAGGAAAGCAAAGGTTAAGTGCTGAAGGAAGATGGGTGGCAAGCACAGAAAAATCTGCAAACACTTCCTTGTTTTTCCTGGAGATTCCCCCAGCCATTATTCCAGGGCCTCATCTTCTCCCTACAGTACACAGATGGTTCACAGGCCAAGATCATGCTCTTGTGCTCACCAGGGTAAACCAGGGTTTATTAACCTTTTTGGTCCAGAGTATTCTTTGAAATTCTGATAAAATTATAGTATATACAGTAGATAAAATATATACTGTATATACAATATATACAGTAGATAAACCCATCATAGATAAGCTGTGGTGGCGCAGTATTGCAGGTTAATTCTGCTGACTGCCAGCAGTTCAATTCTCACCAACTCAAGGTTAACTGAGACTTCCATCCTTCTGAAGTGGGTAAAAAGAGGACTCAGATAATTGGGTGAAATATGCTGACTCTGTAAACCATTTAGGGAAGGCTGTAAAGCACTATTAAGAGGTACATAAGTCTAAGTGCTAATGCTATAGTTAAGCCAATCCTCTAAATGTTCATATAATTTTCACAATTGCCTTATCTGCAGGAAAACCACAGATTTTTCATTTTTCATAGTATTTTGATTAAAAATTTGTGTGTTAATTTATCTATAAGTTGGGCTTAGGCATGGGATACAAGCATGTATGGGATATATGGGTATTTCAAAAAATAATATTACAGTAAATAGTATACTTGCAAAACCCATACATGGATAAAGTAAACCCAATTTTGGAGATGCACTTTGGCACCTAAAATTATTTGAAATTATATAATATATAGGTTAAATTTGTATTACAAAGGAAACCAACTGCACTGTTAAATATTCTTAAAAATGATATACATGTAACACACAGTAGTAATGTGTCTGCTTCTTTATTACCCCATTAACTGAATAACTCCATTAACTAAAGAAACATGGTGGCTCATGAGGTTAGAATGTTGTGCTGAAGATTGACAGGCTTGCACTGCCGTGAGGTGGGGTGAGCTCCTGTCACATGCTCCAGTTCCTGCTGACCCAACAGTTTGAAAGTGGGTTTGAAATACACTGCAAGTAGATACATGGGTAGGCAACTTCCCAGGGACACAAAAGGAGCCTCGAACTGGGCATCCCCCAGGTATCACTGGAAAATCCTTTAACCATGGAAATACTTTGGTGCTTCCAACATGGTAATAGTAGTAGTAACTGAATAACAAGACTATAAAGGTAGTCCTCAATTTATGACCATAATTGGGACTGGAATTTTAGTTATTAAATGATGAGGTCATTCAGTGAGTGATCATATGACAGGACTATTTTACAACCATTTTTACTGCAGTTGTTAGGCAAATCCAGCTCCCCCCATTGACTTTCCTTGTCAGAAGCTAGCTGGGAAAGACACAAATTGCAATTGCAAGATGCTGCAACCCTTATAAATTCGAGCCAGTTGCTAAGCACCCAAGTTGACACCACATGTCTGCAGGCTGATGCAGCGGTTGTAATGTCAGCCACAGGTTGTAAATCACTGTTTCTCAGGCCATTGTAACTTCAAACCAAAATTATTAATACATATGACTAAATAAACTGTATGTTCCTTTTAGCTATATAATCTTTCCTGCAGCAGAAACTAATCTAGACTGGATTTGCATTTTTATCCATCAAGTTCTTCCCAAGAATCTGGGACAGGCAAATGTTGTTATTCAGTAATAAAAGGTATCAACACAGAATATAAGCTGTTCCAAATAAAGCTGCCTTTTGCAATTGACTGGTGGTGATTTTGTCAAATGGTGATCCAGATGTTTTGAGATTGCATCAAAGGTGCCTATTACTGTTGGTACTATGCTCTGACCGCCAGTGTGATTAGCTCTCGTTTCTTTTCGTTTCTTTTGCCATAATTCTATTTCTGTTTGAAGGTCTTTATATTTCATGATTTTCTCCAGTGTTTTCCCCTTCTATTCTGTGCCTCCGCCAAACTGTTTCTTGAAGCTAAAGCTATAAATACAAATTTTGTTGGAGCACAGAGGTTGATTCTGTTTTACACATCCTTTTAAAGTGCCCACTGTACTCACACTGGCGGTCAGAGCTAATGCCTCTGCTCTTGAGTTTGATAAGCTCCACTTATGAAGAAGAGATTGAAATCTTCTTACTAAATGATCAATACCCAGGTGCCTGGTTTTATTAGCCAATTGAAGACTCATGGAAGTATCTGGAGAAAATGTATATTCCACCTGAACTTTTCTCATAGTAGTTATTTTAGTAAAGTAGAGCTGTGCAAATCCTTTGAAATAAATACATTGCAATGTAAAAAAAAAACATATTTCTCCAAAGCTATTGCCTTTATGGATATTCCTTTCTCATTGTCAATGGGGCTAGCTTTGTTTTTTTCATTTTGCTAGGAAAGCCCAGGCAATCCTTTGATTATCATAAGGACTTCAGACAGAGAATATGCCTTTTCTAATCAAATGAAATGGAAGAAGGGGGGAAGGAAAGGGAAAGAGAAAAAGAAGGCAATCCCGTTTGCTCTCATGGCACAGGATGACTGAACAAGAAACAATGGCTTGTGCTTTTGCAAAGCCAAACAACACACCACTTTGTGCTGCTGTTGGAATCCCAGCTGCAGCTGAGTGACACCAACCTCACAAATCTGTACTTCTGTACATTGCAGTAGAGTTATATTTCGCCCCTTTGAGAAAGGACGGTATCACCCACTGAGGTAGGGATGGGAATATGTCCTTTTATTTTTACTGGATTGGTACAAATACAGGATCACTAGCTCTGTCCTGAGGCCAGGAACACATGATGTCATCCTCCATGGCTTACCGGAGACTAACAGATTTTTCCATCTATGCATCAAAAGTAGTGTTTTATGACTTGTGCCAGCACCAGCAATGCTGTCTGGCTCACCCTCTCCATTTCATTACATTGTAAGCAAATGCTACCACTCCGATTGACTGCCTTGTGCTGTGACAGGAAACCTCTTGCGTCCAGTTGTTATCCCCCAGGGCCATTTAATGGTGGCTGCCTGACCCCTCCTGAGTGGATCTCAATTGGTGAGCTTCTTTTTTCCTCCTCACTTTACTTTAAACTTATTGTAGAAGTTGGTGAAAAGTGAACAGCTTGGTACAACTTGTACAATCTGATACAAGTTGCAGAGTGGTGAAATGATGTATGTTAAAAAAATTAATAGGTGGGTATCAAGAGACGGATTATTCTTTTCTTACAAGATTACTTGTAATCTTGATGCTAATGAAAATGTAGTCCTCTCTCCCTCCTGTTTTAGCCCAAATGATCAGAAGAATGGAAAAACAATAGCTTTCTTTTCCCCCAGATCTACCAGTAGACATACCAAACAGGAAAGTGGAGTTTCACTACTCAACTAGGCAATATCTTCAGTGCTAGAAGGGAATTGGGTTTGCTCTTTCATTTATATACAGTGGCTTGCCCTGGCAGCAAGGGTGGACTTCAGGGGTGGGATTCTACCAGTTCGCACCTATTCGCTAGAACCGGTTGTTAACATTCTAAGCAGTTCGGAGAACCGGTTGTTAGAAGAAATTACTGGCCTAATCATGTAAGGAAGGCAGGAAGGATACATTCTAGTGAAACTGCCTCTCTGTTATTACATTCTTATTACATTCTTGGCAGGACTAGACTTCCTGTCTCAGGAACCTCTCTGGAGTTTTCTTTCTCTCTTTTGCTGGTACTTTGCTTGTGTGGAGTGACCATTCAAAGTTACAATGGCACTGAAAAAAGTGACTGATGACCATTTTTCACACTTACGACTGTTACAGCATCCCCACAGTCATGAGAGGCCAGGCGAGGAGATGCGTGCCTCGATGTGAGTGATATTGAGTTGGCCACACCCAGCCAATAACATGACCACCAAGCCACACCCACCAACTAAACCATGCCCATAGAAACGGTGGTTTAAAAATTTGAATCCCATCCCTGGTGGACTTGTATTGTTTTCTCCTTGGTATCCTTGATGGGTCCATTGTTCCCTGCTTCATTGTTTGTCTGGTGTTAATCCTGGCATTAATCCTTGTTTAACTGGGTGTTGATAGCTCGTGAGGAAATGTTCTTGTCTTTATGTTTTCTTTTTAACTTTTTAAAAAATGTTGTATATACTGTATGCTTTTTAATGTCTATGTGCCTGTTGAAGGCTAATTTGTCTCAGTTCAAAGCTTCCAGGAATTCTCTAGGAGTTTGGGATTTAGCTTGGTCTAAGAGGCTCAGTTTTCCAGTTGAAACTATGATTAAACCTGTCCATGAGCTGTGAAATTAAGGAGTTTTCATTATGTCTTCTGATTGCTAATTAGTATTCATGGATTTGCTCTGCTAATCTTCTACATATCTATCCTACACAGTGACTGTTTTAGTCCTTACACAATATGTTGTAGATGACTTCTGGTTTTTTTTTCTTGGGCTACTGGGCCTTTTAGTTTCTTAAGATGGTTGGAGGGTTTAGTTGATTTTTGTACTATTATTATACCATGTGGTTGCTTGCTTTGATTTGAGATATATAAGTTAACTTTTTCATAGCTTTAAAAACAAGCACTGTCATACATGAAAAACATGATTAAAATGATGGCTTCTGTTATATTATTAATAAACCATTCATATATAAATTTGTGAATAATTATTTATTCCTATTATTCTCCAAACTTATGAACTCTATACTTATTCTCCAAAGCATCTGAGGGCAGGACAAGAAGCAATGGATGGAAGCTTGTTAAAGAAAGATCCAACCTAGAACTAAGGAGAAATTTCCTGAAAACCATTTGTAGGGACTCCTGCCTTGACTGGGGAGGGGGAGATTGGCCTAGAAGACCTCAAAGATTTCTTCCAACCTGTTTTTTCTTGTTTTCCTTCTCTAAAATTAGGTGCATCTTATGGTCTGGTGTGTCTTACAATCTGGAAAATATGGAACATTGTATGAATGGTTGCTATTCCTTGAGAAACAATGGATTATGTTCCAAAAATAGAAATATGTGTTATTG